TAAACCCTAAACCCTAAAGCAGCTTACGCCCCAAGACCCTTAGCCAGTCAGGTTTCGGCTTCGGGGCGTAACGAAGAAGTCTAACTCGAGGGTTAAGGGTTTAGGGTCTACAGTTTAGGGTCCTAGAAATAATTCACAGCATTACTCCCTTGGGTTTCTTGAGGATACATATAGAAGTATACGCTCAAACCCGAGTCTGATTGCTTCGGCCCTTATCTTGGGGTTCAGGGCGTATCGGGTTTAGGGTTCAAGGTTGAGAACCCCTAAACCCTAAACCCTAAACCCTTATCGGGTTTACATAGGTTTTTAGGGCTCGGTGGCAAGTAAGCCGGGTCGGTGATTTGGTTGCTTCTCCCCGAAACCCGAAACCTTTGAACTCCTAAACCCTAAACCGTAAACCTGTGGATTCCTGAACCCCTGAACCCTAAATCTTTGAATCCCTGAACCCCTAAACCCCCTAAACCCCCTAAACCCTAAACCCTAAACCCTAAACCCTAAACCCTAAACCCTAAACCCTGAACCCAAAGTCTCAAGTTGGATTCCAGTAGCCCGACACCTCGTTAAGTTCAGAAGAAGAGCTGCCATAAGCCTTCAGGGATCTCTTCAGGGTTTAGGGTGACCTCTGTAGGGCTTACGAGAAGTTTCTTAGAGTTTAGGGTTTAGGATTTAGGGCCAGTTTAGAGGTTTAGGGTTTAGGGTTTAGTGTTTAGAACTGTGGATCAACCCGAAAATCTCTTAAGCAGCCATTTCAGCATGTTGGCATGGGAAGCCCTAAACCTAAACCCGAGGTGACTCAAGATCAGAGGCAGTCCAACAGGAAGAGGTTCGAGAAGGTCTGCTGTGGTGTTCACAGTGTAGGGTTTTGGGTTCAGGCTTTGGGGTTGCAGGGTTTCGGGGTTTAGTGTTTTGGGTGCAGGTTTCAAGGTTTTTTAGGGTTTAGTTCGGGTTTAGGGGTTCAGGCTTTCGGGTTGAGGGTTGCGATCTCCCAAACGGGTAGGGGTTTGATCTCCCGCGTTTCGGAGTTTCTTACAATGACGACGGGAACCCATTTATTTTGGCCTGCAGCCCTACCCCTAAGACGCCCTTCAGGTTTAGGGTTTAGGGTTAAGGCTTTAGGGTTTAGGGTTTAGAGTCAGACGGCCCGGATCCAAATACAGAGTTGGCGTAGCTTCCAGGCGTTCATGATGAGGTTTTGGGCTGCCAGGGTTCCGGTTCCAATATTCCTAGTCCAGTGCAAATTCATTGTCATGGACCTTTTGCCCCAAAGCTGTTTGGGATGCAGGATAGCCCAGGATGACCATCCAACCCACGAGACTTGAACAGGCAAGGCTCTTCAGGACCTTCGGGCCAAGACCAAAACAGCAAGCCCTGGGTTTAGGGCTCAGGGTTTTCCCCAATCCCGAAACCGTACGGTAAACCCTTAACTCGAAGCCTTTCTTTCAGCAAAGCCTTACGGATTCAGGACCCAAGTCCAAACTAGACGCCCCGGTCCAGAGCTCTTGGCTGGTTCAGGCTTTAGGATTTGGATTTTAAGGGTTTATGCTGTGGCATTTAGAGTGCAGAGTTTTGGAGTTTAGGGTTTAGGCTCTCAGGTTTAGGGTTTAGAGTTTTCGGGGGTTTAACCCCAGACCCCAAACCCCAAACCCTAAACCCTAACCCCTAAACCCTGACTGAACCCTAAACCCCTAAGCCCTAAACCCTAAACCCCTAAACCCCTAAACCCCTAAACCCCTAAACCCCTAAACCCCTAAAAGCCCCAAACCCGAGGTTTGGGGTTGAGGGTTCGACCCCCAGATCTTCCCTTCTCTGCCAACTTGACTTGGCCTTAGTCTGAGCTTTTGGCATCAGCGACCCCTCGTAGTCCCTATGCAGTTCTGTGTAGTACCATTCTAACAACGGACAACCCTATATTGCACCCCAAAGGGTTTAGGGTTTAGGGTTTAGGGTTTAGGGTTTAGGGTCCAAGCCCTCCGTTCCTTAGCAGAATTCGCTGGTTTCGCTTCTTTTCGAGACCAAAACCGATAACACGTACACAGATAGACCATTGGGCTTAGTCTAGGAGAAGCTTCTTTGCGCATGTCCGAGGGCCAGCCTAGACAAGAACAGCTCCAGCCCCTAAATTCCCAGCCCTAGCCCCGAACCCTAAAGCCTGACGCTCCTCACCAGGGGGGACTCAATACAATACCCTAAATAGTAGGATCCCTATTATAAGGACCCCTAAAATGAGGTGCCCCTTATTTTACCTAAACGGCCGTTGTTGTGCTAGGCTACAACCATGGTCCCGGGTCTAGTGCTGAGAATAAGGGTTTAGGGTTTAGGATAAGCTTTTTGTGGCAGGATCGCGAACAAGACGTCGAGTGGATTTTGCAACTTGGTCGCAAGCCAGACGCGAGCTAAATGGGTCTGGCTACTACTTCTGACAGAAGTAGTATCGCCCTGTGTCGGTACAGAATCATAGCCTAATATATCCCGAGGCCCTATTCTAGTTTTGAAGGCCCCTGGAGGCCTAGCGACCTTAGGGTTTGATGATCAAGGCACCCGTGGTTAAATCCGGCTACAGCATAGGATCCATGTTCAGAGCCCTGAGAAAAGAAGCAGGAATGTTCCTAATCATCGGATAAGGTCCCGAGCCAAATACTGAAATACAATATGGTATAAACCCTAAACCCTAAACCCTAAACTCTAAACCCTAAACCCTAAACCCTAAACCCTAAACCCTGACGAGTAGAAGCCAAAAGGCTGGAACATCATTCTCCTCATGCCCTCACGGTAAAGTATAAGGGATCCTAGCACTGATCCTCCTGAAACCCATGTTCCAACTGTTTCGGGAATCACTATGGTATAGCAAAATATAGTATAGTCTAGTTTAGTATCGTGTAGTACAGTATGGTATCGTATCGTGTAGTATAGTATAGTACAGTACAGTATAGTCGGAGAAGATAAGGTAGCAGAATACACAATGGCAGGCTGAGAAATCGCCCAAGACCTACCCAGCTTGGGCTTCCTCAAGAACTCAACCAACCCTAAACCCTAAACCCTAAACCCTAAACCCTAAACCCTAAACCCTAAACCCTAAACCCTAAACCCTAAACCCTAAATGCGAAACCTGTGGCGTGGCTGAGGTGGACGCTCCGCTTGGATGAGGCACGCTGCTATAGTCTATCCTCATCATATAGGGTTTAGGGTTTAGGGTTTTGGGTTTAGCGTTTTGGGTTTTGGGTTTAGGGTTTAGGGTTTAGGGTTTAGGGTTTACCTCAATAGTTAGAATAGGGTTTGGCGGTTTATTATACTATAATTATAATAAGGAACCCCAAAATCTTATTCTAATTAATAAGGCGCCTACATTAATGGAATGGGGTTCCTACAAAGGTGTCTTGCATGACATTTTCTGTGGTTCTATGGTGTGTTTATTAGGGTTTGGTGTAGGAGCCTAATCCCTAGACCTTGACACCGAATCCCTAAACCTTAAACCCTAATCCCTAAACCCTAAACTGCTTGCCATGCAGGAAACGGCAAAGATGGTTACTGACGAGCAGAAGGGCGTCCAACAGGCAGGTCTTCGGGAGGGATCGGGTCGGTTGAGTTTAGGGTTTACGGTTTAGGGTTTAGGGTTTAGGGTTTAGGGAATTGGAGGTATTGGGGATCCTTACAGGGATCCTTAAAGGGATCCTTAAAGGGCTCAGGGGACTTAGTAAGTTGGGCTACAATTGGGGGGGTTTCAAATCCCTTAACTGAAGTTATCCTAACCACAACCTTACTTAGAACCTTGTTTGCTAAGTCCCTTGAGCCGTTAAGTTCAGGGGTTGGGTTTCGGTTTAGTGATGGGTGCTTCGGGCATGATTTGGGGCTCAAAGCAACGAAGCGCCCGGCAGACACACACACACACATACATACATATATATATATATATATATGTATATTTATACACACACACACACATCGAAATGCGAACTCAGTGGATTGCAAGCCAAGTTCGGATCCTGCTAGTAAAATGGACAAGGGTCCATATTGGGATCCCTCATTTTTGAAGCTCCCAATTGCTCAAAAAGCTGTAGAGCACGGGCACTTCTGGCGGCCGCTGGGTTGGCTTATACGAGCGGCTGGTACGACACAGGGGATGACACTGCTGGAGTGGCTCAATGTTTCAGGGTTTGGGATTTACCCTAAACCCTAATAACCAAAATCTTCAACCCTCAACCTAAACATTTCTTAAACCTGAAACTACGAGGCGCTTCCGGCACAGGAAGTTTTGTTCTCGATTGGTTCGCCTTTGTAACATCCGGATGTTCAGGTTGGCGGGTATAGGGTTCAGGGTTTAGTGCTTAGTTCAGTTCTTGGTCTGTTTAAGGTTTGGTCACGATTCCAGGAAGATGTTCAGACCATCCGAGCCGAAGTCGTGCGATCCGAAGCTCAAAACAGTCAACACAAGTATTACTTTAGGGTTTAGGGGTTTAGGGGTTTAGGGTTTAGGGTTTAGGGTTTAGGGTTTAGGTTTTTTGGTTTGTACACTCCGAGCTGAAAACTGATCGCCTGTAAGAATGCGTGGGGTTCCAGGGTAAGGATCTTATGTTCACGAACACCGAATTGAAGGCCCAAAAGGTGTATTCAAGGCTGAGGAAGCCGTTTAGGACTTAGGGCTTAGGGTTTAGGGTTTAGGGTCCAGAAACCCTGAGCCCTGAACGACCCGCAGCAGTATGTTCCCTTGACCTTGAGCCCAAACCTCTGTAAAGGTAGCTCGTGTCTTTGACAGGCTCAAATAGCTTCATAATGTTATAATGTTTATATATATATATATATGTATATATGTATATATGTATATATGTATATATATATATATATATTGGAAAATCGTTCTTGAAGGCCACTTTTTATTCAGCCCGACCGTGTGGTCGCTGGCTCGTGCAGTGCATGTTGACAACTGCATCCGCTTTCTTCTTCTATATTCTTCTCTGCACCCACGGCGTGTATCAGGCCTCGTTGGGAAGCAGCGTGGCACAGGCGCCGCAGACGGTTTGGGACCTCTGCGCGTCTCACACTGCGGCTGTTCCTAGGAGGACATCTGTAACAGAGTGCCGAAGTATCCCACGCACTGCTGGCTCTGGAAGGGCATGATTCGCGAAGTTCCTTGGTACAAACAGCGCAGCGACAGCAGCAGCTCTCAGCCATGGCATCTGGGGGCAGCTGCATGTGCACAGCGGGCAGAAAGTTGTGCAGCAAGAGTGACGAGTACTGCGCGACTGGTGGACAGCACTGGACATGGTGAGTAATTAGTTGAATATCTAGTAAATCTAGTATCTAGCAGAATTTATACTGCCAAAGAAGGTATGATGAGCGGTAATCTATGATGTAGTATACAATATATTACCCCATGTACTCTTAATATCGGTATTGATACGAAGATTAACCTTAATATGGGAATTCATACCATTTTCAGCCTCAAGTCCAAAGATACAAGACCGGGAAGCATGCTTTCTCCTGACATGGAGGGTGTTTAGCATTGGGGGGTCTTGGGTTTAGGGTTTTTTATAGGGTTTATAGGGTTTGGGGTTTAGGGTTTGGGGTTTAGGGTTCAGGGTTGTAGGGTTTAGGGTTAAGTCTCCGGGTCTGTGATTTGCCGTGCCACAGGCGCTATATCGGCTGCTCTACACCAACCAACACTGGCGCACAATAAACCAGCCGAAGCCCTACATCAGCAAGACTCTGCGAAATCTTCGAGAGGACCGGTGCAAGGCAATACAAGAGATCAAGATATAGTATAGTATAGTATATTCTAGTAGCATACACGTCGTTTAATAGTACTTACGGCCCCCTAAGCCTTGTCTATATCTCTCGGTATGCAGCCAAGCATGCATGAACGTATGCACATGCATGAGCATCTATGTTTGCGTAATCGTGGGTTCATAGCCAAGCATGTGTATATATTATGTATATGTATATGTATATGTATATGTATATGTATATATAATACACATGTATAAATCCGTGAGGGTTGGCTTGTGTATCGCGTATGCATGCGTCCGTGTACCCATGTCGCTTACACGCAGAGACACTTGCACATGCACATCCGCATGCGAATGCAGATGCATGCCATCTGTTGCTCAAATGCGCAACTGAAAGAGACGACGCGCGCTTACTTATGCGCTGACACACACACACACACACGCACATGCACCGACAGCCAACAACGCCAGTACACGTTGCTGTCCCCACACAAGAATACGCACAATCCCAAAGCCACCTACACTAAGCTGTGCGAGGACCACGAATGGAAGCAATGGAATCGAGACCAAGAGGGCGTGAAAGAGTACGAACAATTTCTCGAGGCAGGCTTGCTCCAGGATTTGCAGAGGTTGTGCTGATGTGAGTGCTGAATCGGTTTTGGAAGGTGTGCATTTTGTGATGCCTGTCCTTTTCCTTGCTGCTGCTACTTCAAGAAGAAGTAATCACAGGGTGCAAGGCTGAGTGTCCTAGTTTGGCTTGGTAGGGAGGCATTGAAGGGTGTGTCAGGAGATTTATTGAAGGGGTTGTACTTGTGGGTGACACTAGGTAGATGTACAGACTTGGCAACACTGCGGGAGGGTCCTTATGTGAGGGTAAAGACGCCACAGTTAATGTTCCTTGCGACGCACGCGCGGCAGGCCCGCTCTGCTGCGTTGTAAATTGACGAACATTCGGGTTTTGTTGACCTAAACCCCAAACCCTAAACCCTAAAAGAGAACACTTTTAGAAGCCCTTTTGGAATGCGGGTAGTTTAGGCTTTATGGCATATGTAATTTGTAGCAAGACTCTTGTTCTGTTCATTCCTGTATTGATACGAACTGGTACTAATATCTTTATTACTGTCAGCATTATTTTTAATCTAATAGAAAAAACAATCTAATAGAAAAGCCCTATCTAGTTGAAAAAACCCCATCAAATAGAAACATCCTATCTAAGAGAAAAGCCCTCTCGAATAGAACTGCCCCATCTAATAGGAAGACCACATCTATCAGGAAAGCCATATCCAAGGGAAACACGTTCTCTTAAAGAAAAGCCCTATCTAATCGGACAGCTCATTACTTCTACAATTGCTATTACTTCTCCGCTTACATTTGCTACTACAGGAACGAGAATTTGCGAGTATACGATTATTGTTGCTAGCATGGTTGCTATTTCCATTTGCAGTATTGGTACCCTTGCTGTACGAGTCGTCTTAGTACCGCTACCATTGCTATTTCTAGTGCTTTCAGTGCACTACTTTGCTGTTACGACGTCCAGTACTCTTGCTATAACTATTAGTTTTCAGTAGTACTGGTATCAGTTTTGGTACTCGGACGATGACTACTATTACCGGTTAGCTCTGCGAGAAATAGCGGGAGAGAGATCTTCGATACGGGTAAAACAATCAGTTGTAGGGC